AAGTCTGGTCAGCTCAGGCAGTCCGGAAGAGCAGTCCGAGGTCACCTGTCCAGGTCTGGTCCGGCTGACCAAGAGTTGGTCAGCCCCGGACCAGACGCAGGAAACAGGCGGACCGAGGATGCTGGAACGGCGGACCGGAAAGGAACCAAGAGGTTTGGTCCGGAGCTGACCAAAAGTTGGTCAGCCGGACCAAACCTCCAGGTCAGACGGCGCGAGCGTCGGACTGAGCAGACGAAGAAGGAAACTTGGTCCGGAGCTGACCAAAACGTGCTCGGCGGGCCCAAGCCTTCAAGACTAGCGGACCGCGTGCTTCGGACTAAGCTTGGTCCGCCGGACCAAGCTCCTGGTCCGGCGGACCGGGATCCGGAATATTTCCAAAATTCGAATTTTAGGATTTTCTAATCTTATTTAAGTTTAGGGTTTCGTCTAAACTTAAATAGAGCCGACCTAAAACTCAGAAAAACACCCTAGAACCCTAGAGAAGCTGTTCTCTTGGATTTCTATTGTCCCGGGATTGGATCTCGTCTCTTGAGTTACCCTTTTCTTCACTAATCCTAGCAGATTCGTTCCAAATCGTTTGGAATCCTTCCCGTCGGTGTGGATACGTGTAGAGGGACTGTAACTTCAGTCCTAGGTGGTTTAGAACAGGCCCTGGATCGAAATAAACTTCAAGTCTCATCGAGAACGAGGTAAGTAACGATTCCCTCGGTGATATACAAGATCTTTCGGGTTCTGCGAGTTTGGTTGCGTGTGACGTTTGACTAGGTTTAGATTTTTCTTCCGCTGCATGAAACCTAGTAAACCAAACCCTAGATCGATATGATCGCATGCTAGGAACCCGTAGATTCCCCAACAATCCTTGCATACTCGTCTCATCTGTACCATTAAGTCTCAAGTCAAACCTGATGACTTAACCTAAGGTAAACCATATTCAAGCTGTGAGAACCACGATTTTTCACCCTACCTCACAAAGATAATCCGGCACGCTCAGCTTTGGCATGACCCGTGTTACGGATGACAGGTGCTCTAGTAATGGGAGGTACACACTTAGCATTATATGAATAAGGGATTTTCGAAACCACACCTAGATCAAGCATCTACTTTCAAGCTATGAGAACCACCATTTTTGCATCTTGCCTCACCAAGATAGCACGACACACCCAACTTTGGCATGACCCATGACACGTACGATCGAGGCCTTGACAAGTGCTTTACTCATAGAGCTCCTAGATCTAACCGGTTTCTGTGCAATGATTAACATAATCCGAATAGACCATCAATTCGATTATGCAATCCCAATCTCGAAGCTCCCACTCAATCAAGCATATCCCATATCTTGATCAAGTTACATGCATCCAGAACGGACGGTCCAGGTTTGGCAGAATAGATTGTCTCGACTACAGTAGTCGGAACAGACGTTCCACGCCAAAAACAAGCAGAACGGACGTTTTGCAGTGGACGGAACAGACGGTCCAGTTGAGACCTTCCGTTCCGAGCCACTCCGTC